TATATATATATAATATAATATATCCAAAGATGCGTATCACTAAGTGTTGATGGATAGATATTTGAACAGGTTATTTAAGTGTACATATATTATTATTTGCAATAATAAATTAAATTAAAGATATCAAATAAATGAAATTTAAATTGTTTGACACGGGTCATTTAGCGCACCACCCTTTAAATTTTGTGTGTAACATTTTATAAAATTCCACCACTCTTTGAGTGGATATAATAATTTTCGTAGTGTTTATGTATTGAAGTGCCATTTTCCGGCATTAAAAAAGTCTCAAATTGCCATTTTTGGGCATCTATAAAGTCTCAAATTGTTAAAATTTACTCATCTGCGCCCCAAAACTACTGTGGGGCTCAGGTAGATATCGTAAGTTTTGTACTATTCAAGTGCTATTTTTGGACATCTATACGAGTCTCAAACTTTTTTGGATATGGTAGTTTTTAGAATTGTAAGTATTTAAGTGTCATTTTCGGGTACCGGTACCTATTTAATTAATTCGGATATTTTTACTCAATTCGTCCGAAATAAAAAGAAGTAAATGGCACCCAGAGGTATAAAATACTAAAATTTTCGCGTCACCACCAACCACAGTGGCGCTGACGTGGTGTGGACTCTCATTTCATCAGCACCCAACACTCCTTCCTAAAATTCTGGATACGCCACTGTTGCTGAAAACAATAGTTTGGCCAAAAATATTTTCATTGGTTTTGTTGAACAAAAAAACAATGCTAAAAACATACAGTGTAAATGCCAACATAGACACAACATGGCAGGCAGAACCGGGGAGGGGGGAGGGCGGGGCCCCCTCCACTTTTTGGCAAAAAATATATAATGTCTGGAGATATTTGTATGATCGGAAAGAAATGCAATAAAAGAAAGAGGGAAGAAGGAGGAGGATGGGAAAGAGAATGTTTATCCAGTCCCCGACGAGTTACATTTTCTCGAAATTCACATTGGCGGATCTGGGGAGGGGGTCATCAGTCCTGACCCTTCCCTTGGGCCATAAAAAAGTGGGGGGAAAGAATTCTAGACTTACCTTTTCATGACCCGTGAGCTGATTTTTTACACTTAAGAAAATTAGAATTTTGAAGAACATAAAAGTCATTAAAACACAATTCAAATTTCGAAAAAGCTCATTTCCCGCCATCTAGGAATCACAATTTTTCAGGGGGAGAACCCCCGGACCACCATTTCTTGTTGGGATTTATCGATTAATGGAAAAAAGAATACGCATGCAACTACTCATTTGTTTATGTGTATACACACATAAAATAAAAAATGAGAAAAATTTACCTGACCGTTTTCAAGAGGGGAAAACCATTTTAAAGAAATTAAAAAGTCATTTATAAATGACATTTCAGATGTCAGGAAGGCTCACTTCCCGCCATCTAGAAATCGAAATTTTCCCGGGGGAACCGGACCCCCTTCTTCTTTGGTGTGCATTGATTCATTGAATCATTTTCAAGAGGGAAAAAACCTTGAATTTTGAAGAAGTTAAAGGTAATTAAAAGACACCTCAGAAGTCGGGAAACTAATTTTCCGCCTTCAGTGAATCAAATATTTTCCCCCGGACCCCCTTCCTTGTTGGGATTTATCGATTCATGGAAAAAATTGTATGCAACTACTCATATTTTTATTTATTTTTTATTTTTATGTATGTACACACACATAAGGCCTATTTATAGTAAAAACAATAGGAAAAATTACCTGACCGTTTTCAAGAGGGGAAAACCTTGAATTTTGAAGAACTTTAATTAAAATCGCTAAAAGATATTTTAGAAATCGGGAAAGCTCATTTCCCACCATTTAGAAATTAACATTTTCCCGAGGAGAATCCGAACCTCCATTTTCTCTTTGGGTTCATTAATTCATTATAATAACTTTCAAGAGGGGAAACCTTGAATTTTTAAGAACTTAAAAGTAATTAAAAGACAACTTAGAAGTCGGGAAGCCCATTTTCCGCCTTCTAGGAATTAAAATTTTCCAGGTTTGATTTTTATTTATGAATTGCTAATTAACCAATCGTTATTATGGTCATATATTTTATACACAGTATTAGACGATATCTGTCTCTTATACACATCTAGATGTGTATAAGAGACAGGGATCATGAGGGAATATTTCTATTTTGAAAGTTATTGTATGTATTAGTTTAATTAAATTAATAATAACTAAATGATTTTCTGTGTAATAATATAAAAATATATATTTTATAATGTTCAATGTATATCTCTTTTTTATATCTTTTTATGTAGTATTTTGTATCTATTAATGTGCA